GGGGATTCGAACCTGCCACCTTAGGTGTATGTGGCTGGCGCCTTAGCCGCTTGAGCCACAGGCGCCGAGCCAAGGGAATGTTCTTAAAGGGAGCCCGAGTGCATCCCTTGAGATGGTCTCCTCTGCAGGGTGCCCGAGTTCACCTGTCAGGTGGCAGGCTGCTGCGAGGTGTTCGACGCCCTACATGACTACGAGCACCACTACCACACGCTGCACGGAAATGTCTGCTCCTTCTGCAGGCGGGCCTTCCCCTCAGGACACCTGCTGGATGCCCACATCCTGGAGTGGCACGATTCCCTCTTCCAGATCTTGTCGGAGCGGCAGGACATGGTGGGTGAGATCACTGTACTTGCAGAGGTTCTGTCACTGTGTGACCAGGGTAGGGGTCAGAGTACTGCCCCAGGGCAGGCTGGGGGTCACAGGGGTTGAGGTGGGGCTGGTTTGGGTGAAGTTGTTTCTGTTTCAGTACCAGTGCTTGGTGGAAGGCTGCACAGAGAAGTTCAAGACCAGCAAAGCCCGGAAGGATCACCTGGTAAAGCTTCACTTGTACCCTACGGATTTCCGGTTTGATAAGCCACAGAAAGGCAGAGGGTAGGTGGGCCTCAGTGCCACACCCCTTGGTTTTAGAAAAGCCTTAGACAGACTCTGATGTGATAGTCAGCATCTGTGTCCCACTTAACACAGCTGAGACCCTGACCACAGGGCACATCAGCCAGAGAGGGTTGCACAGGTGAGGGTGGTGTTGCCTATGGCCACTGGCTGCAGGCATGGGGGAAGGGGCCTCCCCAGCTCTATGTCAGTTGACTGGCTGGCATGTCCCTCCCAGCTGCAGGCCCTCTGGCTTCACGCTTGCCTTCTTGGTGTTGGTATAGAAGCTTGACAAGAAAGCTCTTCGTTTATCAATACTATACTGCTCAGAATTCACTGTGGGAAATAGCTCTAGGAATAATTCTTTAAATTGCATTGAGCTTCTTTGCCATTTTTTTTTAACTGATTATTTTATTTTGGAGACAGAGTCTTACTTTCTTGTCCCTAGTAGAGTACAACTTCAAACTCTTAGGCTCAAGCCATTCTCTTGCCTCATCCTCCCAAGTAGCTGGGACTATAGACACCCGCCACAGTGCCAGGCTCTTTTTAGAGACAGGGTCTCACTCTGGCTCAGGCTGATCTCAAACTTGTGAGCTCAAGCGATCCATCCACGTTGGCCTCCCAGAGTGCTAGAAATACAGGCATGAGCCATGATGCCTGGCCATAAGTGCTTATGCATAAGGTTAATTGTCTTCTAAGGGATCATTTTAAGGAGAAAAACCCTACAATGCTGGATTGAGACATTGGTGTTAGGAAAGAGACTCTATTTTAGTCTCTGGTTAGCGTTAGTAAATTTTTCACGCTCATAAAAAGACACATGGTGACCTTGGTAGGCATTAGGCCATCGCACCATAAAAACATTATTTTCAAAAGACAGTGTAATTGTTAGGCTTAAGTTTATAAATATAGAATTTATTTATAAAGAATTTTCTGGCTCGGCACCTGTGGCTCAAGCGGCTAAGGCACCAGCCACATACACCTAAGGTGGCTGGTTCGAATCCCCAGCCCGGGCCCGCCAAACAACAATGATGGCTGCAACCAAAAAAATGGCCGGGCGTCCTGGTGGGTGCCTGTAGTCCCAGCTACTTGGGAGGCTGAGGCAGGAGACTCGCTTGAGCCCAGGAGTTGGAGGTTGCTGTGAGCTGTGATGCCGTGGCACTCTACCCAGGGGGATAGCTTGAGGCTCTGTCTCAAAAAAAAAAAAAATTTTTTTTTTCTATACTCATGCTGTTTTTCTCAGCAGCCTGAAAACTACATTATAAAATTAGACTATGCCAGCTGGTTGAGGTGGCTCACACCTGTAATCCCAGCACTCTGGGAAGCTGAGACAGGTGGATTGCTTGAGCTCAGGAGTTCCAGACCAGCCTGAGCAAGAGTGATGCTCCATCTCTACTAAAAATAGACAAACTGAGGCAAGAGGACCACTTGAGCCCAAGAATTGGATGTTGCTGTGAGCTATGATGATGCCATGGCACTCTACCCAGGGTAAGAGAGTGAGACTCTCATCTCCAAAGAAAATTAGACTATGTCAAAGTAGTAAGAAAATATCTTTGCAAGAAAAACTCTCGTTCTTGCAAGTTTATTTCTGGGGAAAACTGTGGTGGCAGGAGCCAGATGGGGCCAGTGCTCACTCCTATGCCCCTTACAGCCCAGCCATGCTTAGGGGCAATGAGAATGTGGCAGCAGAACCCCTCGGGGACGACAGGGAGCAGTCAGAAGGTGAAGCCATGGAAGTCTGCTGTGAGCCTACAGACCCCTCCCCAGCACCTGAGGGTGGCAGGTGGACCTACAGTCATAGGTCAGTACCCAAGTCTTTCTGAAGCAAGTTCTAAACATGTGCTTGATGCTGAAAATTTTGGTCTGAACCTGGGCCTTCTTCTGAGAGAAGGAGCAGTGGGTAAGAACATTGGTTGCTGCCAGAGGTGAAAACTGAACACATGGTTCTCTTGAATAACTTAATTCCTCTGGCACATGGTTTTTGAGCCTGTGAAGCATAGCAACCTGAAGCACTCCCTCCTTCATCATATTCACACTGTGAGGAAAGAGCTCGTAACTGCTGAAGTTACAGCCCAGGAACCTGTGTTCCCAGCATTGATTCTGTCCTGATCATGTTAAAAAAAAGAATCTGTTTCTAATCAAATTTGGAAAAAATGTTGAATGAGTGGGGAAAAAATGCCAAGGAATCCAAAGACAAGATGAACTTGGTGGTGCCAGTAGCTTAGTGGGTAGGGTGCCAGCCACATACACTGAGGCTGGTGGGTTTGAACCTGGCCTGGGCCAGCTAATCAACAATGACAACTGCAACAACAACAACAAAAAAAATAACCAGGCATTGTGGTAGGCGCCTATAGTCCCAGCTGCATAGGAAGCTGAGTGGGAGTCTGAGGCAAGAGATTTGCTTAAGCCCAAGAGTTGGAGGTTGTTGTGAGCTGAGATGCCATGGGACTCTACTGAGAGTGAAAGCTTGAGACTATGTCTCTTTTTTTTTTT